AGTAACAGGAGGATTCAGAGTAATTGAAAGGTGGTTAGAGTTCAGGGTCTGTACAACTAGCTCAGTAGTGGGAAGGAAACAGGAGAAAGAGCACTTATGGAAAAGCAAATGACATTTTGGAGCGACAAATGTGTCCTTAGGAAAATAGCTTGAACCATAGTCTGTCTGGGGGTGGTGCTATCTCAGAAGAGAAGATCAATCACTCCAGAGGAAAGTTTAATGACAATTGAGTTATTTGGGGAGGCTCCGCTTTTGAGCAGATATATCTGGAATGCAAATATATTTAGCTCAAAATAAGCCTTATGCCAAACTGACATACCTGGGGTGGTATGTCCTTGTCCCGATCAGTGAAATCTGTACTTCTTGGTCTTCATCAAGCATAGTGCTCATGTGTTTTATAATCTGGCACATATTAACCATGCCTAATGGTCTGCCATGCTTATCCCTAAGGATGCATATTATTTGGTTCATACTAAGTGCCCAATAAAAAGGCACTGAAATTGTTGGTAGACTTGATAAATGATTGTTATATTTAATTTGCAGGAGGGTGATCAAAGTAAGTCAAATAAGAATTTTCAGAAATGTGGAAGCCATCACAATTCCTATGGTTACCCCCATAAAAGGGCAAGTAGATCATTCAGAATTTTACTGGAATGAAGTAAAGCTTATCATATGATCAGTCTTTAACAGTAGACCAGCCACCAGACTCCATTGGTAGATTATTGCCCTTTTGGCCTAGTCTTTTGAGCTTCTCCTGGATTGTACTTTTGCATTATTCCAGTCAGCAGTTTCAACTGGGCCAACTAGACACAGGGCCTGTTGCAAAACACAAGGACCCACATAACCTGTTAATGGATCAGTCTGGTAATACTGAATCGAACAAAGAATACCTCCTCTACTATTTGCCTGCTTCCAACTTTTTACAATACTTTCCTGAGCCTGTGACATCAGTTCATTTGCCACAAAGCACCAGGCAGGTCTATTGGAGACTCCTATTAGCCACCTATTGGAATAATCAGGGAAGTGAGCACTTTATTCATTAAATCTGGATGTGCAAGTAATACTCCTGATCAAACTCTCACTTAGTCTTTATGGAACTTTGAGAGGTGGTCAAGTCAGGGATTAGTAAGCTATTGTCACAATAATCATGTTTAGCAAATAACCACAAATCTCAATGGTGTGAAACATAAATTTGTATTTCATGCTCACGGGGCTTCAGGTCTACTAGAACAAGTCTTGATTCAAGCTTCAAGTCAAGGTCAGGTGTTTTTAGTGGCCCATGTTGAAGGGACAGCAACCTCCTAGAGCTTGTCCTTAGGGCTGAGATCAAAGCTCCCAGAGCACAAGTAGAAGATTCCATTGCCAGGTAAATTTTAGATTCATAATTAGTCCACTGTCACTTCCACCCATATTCCCCTGGCCAAGTTAGATGCCATCTCTGGATTCCACCCCTTTCTCTCCACTACCCAGGTCACTCTTCCTTGAGAAAACTTCACATGAAACATTCCAAAGCTAAAGAAGTGATAAATTGCAATATGATAACATAACCGGAATGTAGCCCCCTCCCCCAATGACAAACACCTTTAAAATTCGTTTTGCTGTACAAAACTCAAATTTATGAGCCATTTGTGGGAAGGTATTTACCCTTTAAATCGCTGCTGGCATTTTGTAAAGGACACTGTGTCATTGGGTCTTCTGAAAGAAGTCCTAGGTAAGAGTGTCTTTAACAGTAAGTGCCAGGAAAAACCATACTTCCTGTGAATGATTGAGGTGCCTTTCCTCTCTCTGAAAATGTGTAACTGCTGTCCATTTTCTTTTGCATGTCAAGACCTTTGAAGTCAAATTTTCACTGATAATAAAATTAGTGGAACTTTGTAACCCGCTGGATTGCTCTCTAGATCCTGCCATTCTATTCTAATTTATCTTTAACCTGCTTTGACTTTTTGTGGTACATAATCTTCATCCATTTATTTTTTTCTGCAAGCCCTATCAAGTGTTTTGTGGAATGAGGTGAGGTAGAAATAAAAACAAAGCAAATAACTAAATAAAGCTGTGCACTGTCAGGGGCACCTAATTAAAAAGAGGAAAATCAACTGGTCTGTTTCTCTGCTCCCTAGTTTTTAAATCACCATTGGTA